AAAAAACAACCCTCTGTACTTGCTTCAGAGAGTTATTCTCACCTCCTTGAAATAACTTCCACAAATATAACATGTCCAAGTGATGGTCCCTCTAACCTCAAAGGCACAGGATCCTTGCCACAGTCGCTGACAGCAGACCACAGGATAAATGATAGGTGCTGAAGCAGTTTGCAGTGCTTYATGAGTTTAGGCATCTCTCTACAGGAGCCCAATGGGTTGATAAGGTAATTAAAGTGGCACAGAGGGTTTTGCTGGGGCAATCCCCCCAGTGCACAACACCCATCCATGATTCACTGTCAGGGAGAGGCTCTCCTGTCCTCTCTGCCCGCTCAGCACAGCCCCTCACCATTTGCTGCATTTGAGTATCACCACTTTGGAAATGGCAGAAAGTCCAAGTGCCTTCTTTGACAGAAGACTGGGCCCTTCTTCTCAGGCAAAGGGGAGACCCTGAGCTTCCACAGGCAGCAATCAYAGTCTTGGGGCTCCCCTGCGAATGCACATAAGACCCTTTTGAATGCTACTCATTAGTGTTTTGGCTGGCATGAACCRTTCTTCTGTGCCCCAGCTGATGAACACTAGCACTGCTGCCAAGTCTGCTGATAAATAAATAAGGATAGGGAAAGCCTTATGGTTTTTGAAAAGGGCAGCAGGAACYCAGCGCTCAAGGCAGAAAACACAATTTGCAGTAACAAACAGACTGGAGTCCAAGAGCAGCTCAGTGCTGATATTCAACCCTATTTTCCCCTTAAACATCAGCTATTAACAGCACAGAAATCGATGGCACTGAAGGCAGCTAGGATCAAGCTGACGGGGAATGCTGCAGACTTCTCCCAACAGCCTTCCTCATCCGCTTCATTTATCACCTACAGCCTCAGCTCTTCCAGCTCCAGGCTTGCTCCTCTCCTCCTCGGCTCCRCAAGCAGGACTAATTTTCATCAGTGACAAGGCAGGAGACTAATTACAGTACACATTTCATTCGTGAGGGGACCCCAGGGAGAGGAGGAGGGGGGAGAAAACGTTTTGCTTGCTCTGCCACCTAAACAGTTTGTATTTGTTAGTGTAGAAATAAGCCTGGTGACAGCGAACGGATGCCTAAGGAGCAGCTCACCCATTAACCTCACATCCGCCACAGCTCACACCCACCACCATTTAGATGCACCATTAATATTTATAAGGATGACGTGTCTTTTTGACAGGAACTTGTGCCTCCAGCAACAACAGATGTTGTACCATTTATGAAAGAAACTACTCAAGCATTTCCAATGGACCTTGTGCATGCTCATCATGTCTTTATCCCGTGCCCTGATTATATTATCCACGCAGAGCTGGGGTCACCTCCTGACTCCAGTCCAAGAGCAGGGATGGCAGCACATTTGCCTGTAGAGCATTCAAAAATGTTTCAAGTTTCATTGTGTCTCTGTGAATGTTCTGGGAGCCAGAGATCTTCCAAATGCACCTGACAACTCAAACRGAAGTGTGTTGAGGCCATTACATGTCAGAAAGGAGTATTTGCCACTTGCCTGGGCCTCCAAAACACAGGGCACATAGCTGAGGCTGCAGSATTGCCTCCCACAGTCACCTTTGCCACTGTCACCAGAGCTGTGATCACCACATTAGTGATTGTGCACCATCTAGAAAGAATTAAACCCTGCTCTACACACAGGCTTGCAGGAGCACATGTGCAGAAAGACCCAGATGCCGTTATCTCTGCTAAAACTGGGCTGTTCCTTGGCAAAACTGTAATTTATAGCTGTGTAGGAGCTTGTCTCTGGCAGGACAAAGATTAAACTCCCACCCTTCATGGAGGAGGAAGCAGTGTCTGTACACCTCTCCATCAGCAAGATGGGCTTAACCTGGATAAGATACAGATAAGTTAGTGGGTATAGTGAGATCTCCTTCAGGAACCACCATGCATGGACAAGCACCGAGGTATTGGACAGGATATCTAAGGAATGTTTTCTTTTACTAGATTGCAGTTGACATTTCCATTAAAATGCATGAGGTTACCATGATTCRCTTCACCTGACGTGATGGAACTTGTTCAAAGTAGCACAAAAATGTCACATTGTCCCTGTGGGCTAGAGGAGATAGCCTGCAGTGACTTTCACCTCCAGACTGGCAGCTCTAGTGATGCCCTGATATTTATGGCACATACATTTTTAATGCCCAGCACAAACAGCTCCAGCATTTGTCAACTCATTTGACCCGCTGCTCTTCAAAGAAAATACAAAAAGACACGCTGCAGAACAAGAGCTAGCAACGTGTACAATGCCTTGCCATCAGCACCCACCCAGTCATAAGAGAAATAGGATGTTATAGCCATGGCCAACTCTCTCTGGCCATTCTTAGCCAAGAGTTGCCAGCCTGCTGCTGGAGTCTCCCCGTGCATCCAGAAGTTCTTGTGCTTCCAGCTCTTCACTGCTCAAAACCTTGGATCCTAAGCTTGTGAGAAATCCTCACTGCTCAGCAGGCACCAGAGTTTCACCACCGGAGTCCTGACACGGCTGAACCTTGACTRGGGTGAATTCGGGAGCTCATTTTCCTACATTAACAATGTAGCACCTGTAACCCACCTTTGCTGTGAGACACAGCTGATCCAAACACCTGCAGTGAAGAGGCCRGTCGGGTTCGGGGACTGCACCTGCAGCCAATGGCAGTGCAATGCCTCTCGTGTAAATCAAGATTTACACCCCTATTAACCCCACTGTCTGAGCACCTGAATGCCTGTGTGTTGTGGTTTACCCCAGCCAGCAAGCAGGCAGCTGCTCGCTCGTTTCCCCCACCCCATTCTAGGAAAAGCTGAGCTTTCTCTGAAGGGGAAAAAAGCTCTCAGATGTTTGGAGCTCTTCTTTTACCACACCATTACATATGCTGTGTGTTACTGCATATTTTACAAATGTGTGTGTGCATTMGTGTGCTTTTATTCACCTTTAATAACCTTCTGTGCCTAGTTTTGGTTGAGAACAAAGACGGTTCTTGCAAAATTGTGACACCCATTTCTTTGCAGTTTGCTGCTTTTTACTGCAGTTTGCCCACATACAGTCGTGGCTTTCCCCTGCCACTATGGTGGGCTAAGTATGCATAAACCAGACACAGAATGGTCACAGATGTCTCTACTTGCTTACTTACCACCACGTTCTCTACCTGCCCTGGTCCAAACAGCATTTCTACTTAGCCAGCATTAATTGTATCATCAAAAAGAATGAGCCAGTTTCTATGTTGTGTTGCAAAGAGAATTARGTGCATCAAAAGCAGGACAGGTTTAGACATCCCGTCCCTAGTACATCCCATTCTGCTCCTGCCTGGTGCAGGCAAACTTGTCGCCATATGAACAGAGTCCTCAACAAAATCTGAGTGCTGATACTCTAAGAGAAAAGGAAGAAACACACCAGAAACACCTTTCTTTAAACAACACCTCCTGTCCATTGCGATACAGAAAAGAAGAACGGCCTGATCTTAGGTCTCCAGCCAGGATATACCACGTCCTGGCTTTATCCCTTATGYACTCCGTGATGGCATCGGGAAGACAGTGAACTTCTCTATGCCAGTTTGCTCTTTTATCACACACAGATTAGCACAGTGCAGGCACGCATATTTGTATGGCCCTTTGAAGACGAAAAGCAGTGTTAAGCAGCAGTGGGACTGCCAAAGTAAGAGCTGCCCCGACCTTTCCCGGACACGTGCCGGTACCCGCTGGGCCACGCGGGACTCGCCAGGCACCGATCCAGGTGCGGATCCATAAAAACTGCTGGAGCCGGGCGTCGCGGAGCTCTGAGCAGCTGTGGGCGCTMCGGCCCACGCCAGACCTCTCTGCGAGGAAAACCTCAGCACCACCAAAACCAGAGGGCTTTCCGTGGCGAGACAAACCGGGAGGAAGCTGTAGCAGGAGGGGAACTATGCCGGACACGTACGGGGAAGCGAGCGTGCGGCTCCGCGCCGGCAGTGCCGATTCAAGCGGGGGACGCGTCTCCCGTTTCCTCGGGCGGTAAAAATATGACATGCATTAGCGAGGAGAATAAAAGAAGGGAAACAAAGGAGCGGGAGCGAACACCTGTCGCTTTCCTCGGGGACGAGCCCTAATGCTTTTATTTGCCTCGGTCTGCTRGGAGAACTGCAGCTGCCAACTGTCATCAGCATCAAGTTACCCGCACAAAGCTGGCCTGCCCGGCTCTTTCAGCCAGGGGAGGCGGAGGGCTGCGGCGCGCCAGGGCCGGCACCGAGCACTCTGGGCGCAGATGCCACAGGGCAGGCGAGCAGCCCCCGGGGCTGGGGACGGGCTGAACCGGCGAGCAGCCATGGTGCCTCGTACAGCCCTGCTACACGGTCCGAACCAGAGCGTTCTCCCGGGCTGGCACCCACACCCCGGCCCTGACAGCAGCCCTATCCACAGGGATGGCRGCGGGACAAGACGGTGTTCATGGCCACCTGTGCCTGCTCAGCCCCACCGGTTCCCGATCAGGGCTCAGACTGACTCTTTCACGCCCAGGTCCATGCTGACGCCCGGCTGTCCCCTCTGTTCCATGAACACCCCAGCCGCACTCTGAACCCATAAGAGGGTTTGGGGTTCACTGGGGGTGACTGACATGTCCCCTGCCTCGGGGAGCCGCACGCTGCTGGCAGGGGCAGGTGCCGTTACCAGCGGCCGGGCCGGGAGTCCCCGCGCTGCCGCCGGGCGGTGTCGGGGCCGGTGTCGGTGTCTGTGTCGGGGCCGGTATCGGTGTTGGTGTTGGTGTCTGTTTGGGGCCGGTGTCGGGGCCGGTATCGGTGTTGGTGTTGGTGTCTGTTTGGGGCCGGTGTCGGGGCCGGTATCGGTGTTGGTGTCTGGGGGCCGGTATGGGGGCCGGTGTCGGTGTCTGTGTAGGGGCCGGTATCGGTGTTGGTGTTGGTGTCGGTGTCGGGTCCGCTCCGCTCCGCTCCGCCCGCCCGCGCCCGCGGCCCCGCCCCGCCGCAGACAAAGCGCGCGGCCGCCATTGGCCCGTTCGCCCAACGCTCGGCGCTGCCCGCGCGGCKCGGCCAATGGGCTCATTGACATGCAAATCGCGGGGTATAAAAGCGGCGGCGCGGGGCGGCAGCGGCGCGGAGTGGAGCGGGGCAGCGGCGCGGCCATGGCGCCAGGCAAGGACCGCCCGCCGAGGGGCGAGGGCTGCGCGGAGCCCCGCGCCGACCGCAGGGTGAGTGGCGGGGGCCGCGGTGGGCGGGGCCGGGCCGGGCCGGGCCGGGCCGGAGCGGGGGCTTGACGGCGCTGTTGTCTCCGCAGACGCGGAAGCCGCTGGTGGAGAAGAAGCGCCGGGCGCGCATCAACGAGAGCCTGCGGGAGCTGCGGCTGCTGCTGGCCGACAGCGAGGTGAGGCGGCGGCGCGGCGGGGCGGGGGCCGGCGGGGCCCGGGGCCTCGCTGACGGCCGCGGCGCCCCGGGTCAGTTTCAGGCGAAGCTGGAGAACGCCGAGGTGCTGGAGCGGACGGTGCGGCGGGTGCGGGCCGTGCTGGAGCGCCGCGGYCGCGGTGAGTGCCGGCCCGGGGGGTGGCGGGGGGCGCCCGGCCCGGCCCGCGCCTCACCCGAGCCCCTCTCTGTTCCCCGCGGCGCAGGGGGCGGGCGGCGGCTCCTCGAGGCCAGCGAGCGCTTCGCCGCCGGCTACATCCAGTGCATGCACGAGGTGCACACCTTCGTCTCCAGCTGCCCCGGCATCGACGCCACCACGGCCGCCGAGCTGCTCAACCACCTGCTGGAGTCCATGCCCCTCAACGAGGGCGGCTGCCCGGACTCGCTCACGGACGCTTTGGGGGAGCCCGCTCTCGGTCCCTGGCCCGCCGGCGAGGTGCTGGCCCTGCCGGCTGGAGCCCGCCCGGGCCTGGCCCTGCCCGCCCCGGCGCTCTCGCCCTCCCCCAGCGAGGAGACCTGCTCCGACTCGGACGAGGCGGAGGCCGAGCCCGGCCAGACCTCCACGGACGGACTGGACGCGTCCCAKACGCAGGGCCTGGCCTCGCCCGGCTCGCCCAAATCCATGTGGAGACCCTGGTAACAGAGGAGAGGAGTCAGCGCAGACCTATCTATGAGAGAGCTGCCCTGCCTGTGGGGGAGAGCAGGGTGCCCCCGCTCCGGCCCACGCCAGTGTGGTGTGAGTGTGCTGTGTGTGTGATCGTGTGTGCGCGGCTGGCAGCGCTGGGGCTGCGGACTGCACCACGGGCACTCTGACGCTGTCACACCCTGACAGCCTAATAGCGAACGCGGTAACATTTCATCCCTGTGTGTGTGCGTGTGTGGCATTTTGTAACTTTAGGGGTTGTTTTATGAGACGACGGGGGGAGGAGGGAGTTGATTCGTAGTGGCAAAGCTCTCTGGTGGAGACACAGCAGTTACTTTATAACCCTGTCTCCTTGGCGCTTTAGAAGTGGCCCGAATACTACTACCTTCTAAGAAAAAGCCCTTGTCCATTTTAAATGATGATGGTTGATTSCAGGAGGAGCTCTAGCTAACTCTGCATGCACGGTTTTAAGTGTTCTAGGGATAGCACAGACCCCTGAAAGGTGTCAGTGGGGCTAGAATCTGTACCTGGTAGYAGTCTAAAATCCCACCTTTAGGAAAGGGAGAGAAAACTAGAAACCCGGTGGAATTAGAGAAACACTTTAAAAGATGTTGGTGGCAGGGTCCCTTTTAGAAATGCGTGTCTTTATGCACATTTTGCTTTTAGCACAKTTGAGTTTATTGTGACTTTATGTATATTAGGGTGTCAAATGGCTTTTATTTTTAATTTTTAATAAAAAAAAACTGAATTCACAACATGGTATGTATTGTGGAATGCGATGCACTTCTAACCCGTTTAAAAACATTAAAAACACAGCTCCCTCTTGCTGGCTATTAACAACAGTATGTGTATATCATGGACACAATGGTAATTAAGCACTTAATTATTGTKCTTAAGCATTGTTAAGCATTGGAATACAAATATTTCTTTTGCCTAATACTAGTAGACACTTAAGTTTATTGCATGAACAAGGTCATACTGGCTAAGGTTGGTCTTAGGCCACAGATTTCGGGTTGGTCTGGATGCCAGTCTCAAACCTACTCTACTTGATCTTCCATCGCAAGGTGTTGCTCATACATGCACAGCCCTAACTTCAGAAGTGCTAGGCAAATCCTATCCTGGGGCATAACTTCACAGGGGGGTGGTTTGTTTTTTGTTGGGCTTGTTTGATTTTTTTTTTTTTTTTTTTTTTTTTTTTTTTTTTTTCAGTTGAGAGCAAAACAAAACTCCAGAGTTGAATAGAATGTGCAGTGGATTTGGAAAGTGGTCTTTAATGTTTCTAGGGGCCTTGGAGGGGGACCCTCAGCATTCTCATCCATGAGGTTTGACCCCTTCCTGTTCCTGCTTTGGGGAGATGCCAGGTTATTTATGCTGGGCTATARTACCTTTCAGAGAGCTGTCATTGTAAAGAGGAAAAAAAGGATTGTAAAGTATCTTAATACATGGAAGTTCCCAAACATAGAACAAGCAAGAAAGGAAGCAACCTAACTACCAAGGGACTAGACATATACCTTTGTTAATAACCCCATGGAATAATAAAAATAGAAACTGGAGCACTGGCAAGATCTCTTTTTTGTAGTTTTCTTTAGCTGAGGTGGGAGTTCTTGTTCAAAGATGGCCTTCAGATTTGTTTGGTCCTTCTCCTCCCCAGGTGTGCTAAATTCCCTTTGAACAGAGACAAGAGGGGGAAAATCAGCTGAGCAAGGGAAGGTGAGAGCTTCTMTAGTGACCTTTCAGCTTTAGGGAGGGAGGTTAGGGTTTTGAAGTGTAAATGAAGGAGAAGCCTGGGACACTTGCACTAAAGCTAACACCCCAAACACCAGATGACCTCTTGGCCCTGGGCTGCACCTCTCTAGCCCCAGCASAAGTCCAGGTTTATTTATATCAAGCTATTTCCTTCAGGTATCCCATCTTGTTTGATACTTTGGTCTCCCCTGTCAGCTCAGACCTCCCCATAACTCCAAGGGCAGTTCACACAYGGCATCACCATGCATTGTTACCCTGCTCAGCCAGACTCCCTTGCTTTTAATGGCTGCAAAAAGCCCTTTCTGTGAGGGAYTCTGGAGAGGGAGGTGTAGCCACAGCCCAGGTCCTTAACACGACTGCAGCAGCCCAGCCTGGGGCTCCCCACAGCACTCAGACACTGACCTGAGCTGGCTGGGGGTGACAATGACATCCAGGGTCGATCCTGGGCTGGGGCAGCCACTCCAGCCCCGCTGCTGCTGCAGGAACACCAGAGGCTGCTCGGCTTGGCTTCATTTCCATGGATAAAACATCCTTGTGTTAGGGCTCTCTAATGCTCCTGTGAAAGCAAGTGCAAATCCCGACACTTTGGTGACAGAAGCACACCCAGAGTCCACACAGCAGTGCCAGCTTTGGTTCAGCAGGGATGGGGAGCAGCTCGGAGTCACCTGTGCCCGGCAGCGCTGCAGATGTGGTGTTTGACTTACCTGGCACTGGCCTTGGAGCCAAARCTGCCTGTCCCATTCCTGCTTACACTGCCCGTGCTGCTGCCCTCCCCACAGCCAGGGAACCTTCCCCATGGCTCCTGCACATGGCCACACTGGCTGGAGACCTGGGCTCATCCAATTCCTGCTGCTGCAGGAAGAGAAAGGCAGCAGCCAGGGCTGGAGGGCACCTGGACAACTGCCCTCCCAAAGCCAGGATGGCTGGAAGAGCAGAGGGGCTACAGGCTTTACCCCTGAGTGCTTACCAGTCCTGTACTGACTGAAAAGAAAAACCCAGCTCAGAGCAGTGTTAATTAGGAGTTTTCAATTGTATTGAGTCTTTTAGAAATGTGTTAGCAATATGGCTTTTTTATTATTATTTTTAAATCCACAAATTAGGTTCACAGAAAGTTTAGATCCTCTGATTAGGTGTTGCTGGATTTGTCCATTTGCATTTCTGTACTTTACTGCAAAGGTGTCAAATCTGACACTTCCCTGATAAAGGTGAGCATTTTGGGGGTGGGACTGGGGAAGGGGCAGTGTGGAGAAGGAAGGCTCTGATGACAAACCAGTGAAGCTTTTTCAAGTCCTTTATAGAAWCTGCCTTTATTCTTTTCCATTCCAAAGTAATACAAACAGACTATCTGATCTGACAGAGCAGTGCCTTGTAAAAGGAGAGAGAGGCAGCGCACTAACAGGACTGCTCTCCTTTGAAATGCAGGTGAAGAATAATAGAAAGAAGGGCTCATTTTCCCCTCTCTTTGCATGTCAGTCACACCTGTTGCAGGGGAAAATTCTTCTTGTTAGACCAGGTCAGCTAGGAGGACTCAGAGTTCAAACCTCCTCCAACCTCTTGGCAACATCTATCAGCTCTTTTATCAGAGCCTCTGCCCAGGAGGCAAGATTAAGCTTTTAAATAGCCCAAATCAACTTACATCTTCTTTTATCTCCCTCTAGCACGTATCCTGCAGCTCTCTGCAGAGCCTCCCTCTCCAAATAAATGTTTCAGTCTCTATTCTAATTAAAAGGATAGAAGACTAAAACCAGCCCAGGCCTCAGCAGCAGGTCTARGGGATGCACAGACATCATGCAGGAAATCTCTGYTAWGSA